ATGTGTTTTCAGAGAAAATTGCTTCATTGCTGATTTCTTTCAAAGGAAATACCCTAGTTGATTAGCAATCAAACCAGAAAAGATCTTTGCTTGTTTCCTTTTTTGCTTACAAGGTTGTCTCAGAGATTTATTGCAAGCATTCATAATCTGCCTTTCCAAAGTTTATTCAAGGTGGCTTGCAATTACCAAGCCAAGCACATGCTAAACCTGCAATTGAATGTAGTTTATGAATGCAAAACATACGTGTGCAAGCTTGGCCCCTTCACCAAACTGTACAACTGGAATCATCATCTCCATAGCAACAGGCTCTCCGACTATTTTGAATCAATATTCCTGCGCTGCAAAAGCACTGAATTAATGAAAATCTAGACTCGGGCACATCTTCATAGAGCTTTCTTAGGAACCAAAACCTATATAGAATTCTCATGTAAATCAGATCAAGATCTTGTCAACATTCTGGTGTCATTGAATGTGAAGGATGAAGAGAAAGGTGAACCAAGAAGGACAGGAAAGGTTTGTTAAACCAATTTCTACTTGGAACCAATTCCATTTCCAAATCTTTGGGAAACACATATACAGAATAACACAGAATCAAGAAATTGATACTTATTATAAACACTCCCTCATCCAATGTAAACTGTTACTTATTGCCTTCAGCAACGATTAACTTCAAAAATTATAATGTCATATTTGCTTGCAAACATAAAAGGTGTGAAAGATGCAGACTACTTTCAGCCAAGTATATCTTAGCTTCAAAAACTGATGCATATGAGATTTTTTTTGCCTGTGCAAAAAAAAAAAAAAACACAAGACTTTTCAATACTCAAGGAAACTTTGTCTGGGTGATGATATCTTAATAAACAATGAGAAATCTTGAACACCTGGTTCTTCCTTTTTTTCCCTTCCTTCATACACACATGAATGAAATGCAGAAGCCTCCAATTAACCATAACTGCCCATTTCATCCATCTCAGGAAACTATGGTTAAAGAGTTTGAAGTTGTTGTTCTCCCAAGATAACGGCTGCTTTTAAAGCTTGTAATCATGGTTTCCTGGTTCAGGTGAAAAAGGAAGCTATGCCTAGTTGGAGACGCCTGCATTTCACTGAGGCCCACTCCAAAGAGAGGTAAGAAAAAGATGTAAAGGAAAGTAAGAAGCAGATGTTGGTATGGGTAAAAGGCAATTTCTATTTCAAGCTTATGGAGAAATATTTTATTACTAGAATACACTAATAGCCTTTTTATATTTCAAGATGCTTGTTTATAAAGCTATTTTTCTTCCAATTCTATTGGAAAAGCAGATTATGAATGTTTGCCTGCAAAACATGGACCATCTACAAACGTCACTCTCAACTTCTGGAAAAATTCCATTAGCTTTGCCTTTGAATAAGCCTACAATTTTTTTTTTTGAAAGACAGGTGGACAAATGTCGGCATTCTGGAATTAACAAAACCCACCATTAACTTGGCTGGACTGGCCACATTGTCCAAATGCCTGATCACAGTCTTCCAAAGCAATTACTTTTTCTCAATTCAAGAAGGGAAAATTGAATGTTGGTGGACAACAAAAGGTATTTAAAGATGGTCTTAAAGCTATCCATTAAAAATGTAGCTTAAACACTGAGAACTGGGAAGCCTTGACACTCAAGTGCTATAACTGGAGGTAAGCTGTCACCAACAAACAGTATTATGGGTGAAATACAGGGTGAAAGGGAGCAACGTGCCAAGAGGAAGACATGTCAAGCAAACCCTTGTTGGGACCACCTTCTTCCTAGAAATCTAAGTTCTCATTATGAAAGACCATGTGGATCCAGAATAGGTCTTCACAGCCACTTACGGGTCCAGCACCAAGAGTCTACTGAACAATGAATTTAATGTCATTGTACACTGTACAATGAAATTTAATGTGTTGCCCAGCTTGCATCACAAAGCAACACACTTATCTCTCCATGCTCCCACCCTATCGCACACACCCCAATGCCACATCAATGTGAAGCCATGGAGTTCAATATACTGTAGAGTCTTGCTTATCCAACATAAACAGACCGGTAGAACGTTGGATAAGTGAAAATTTTGGATAATATGGAGGGATTAAGGAAAAATGTATTAAATGTCAAATTACGTTATGATTTTACAAATTAAGCACCAAAACATCATGTATTACAACAAATTGACAGAAATGGCAGTTTAATACACAGTAACGTTATGTAGTAATTACTGTATTTATAAATTTAGCGCCAAAATATCGCAATGTATTGAAACAGTTGTGAGTACGGGCAGAAAGCAGACTGTGTTGGATAATACAGAACATTGGATGAGCAAAGGCTGGACAAGCGAGACTCTATTGTAGTTAGAGAGAGAGAGAGAGAGAGAAACAGAGAGAGACCGACCCTTATTTCAATGCTTCCCAACCTCTGTTCTTCCAGGTATTCTTGACTTCAACTCCCAAAAGCCCCTGTCAGCTTGACTGATAGTTATTAGACATGCTGAGAGTTGAAGTTTAAAACACACGAAGGAACAAGATTGGACACCAATGCTTCAGTTTTAGAAGTATCAATACATAGTAATATTCCACTTTAAAGTAGAACATTCCCTCCACCCCTGGCACATAATGCATGACAGAATAGAGAAGGTGAAAGAAAAATCTAAACCAAAGATCCTATTTACCATAAAATCCAATTTCACAATATGGAATTGAAAAAGGAAAGCTGCATTTTCCTATAAGCATGTTGGGCTAAGCCTATCAGCAGACTAATGAATAATTCTCCCAATCCATGTCATCTGCCCAATACTCATGTCTGTTATTTACTGGGATCTTGAATCCATGGATCTGGACAGAGTATTTATAAGGCAAACATTTTGGAAGATTTAGAGCCAAGATAAAATTTTAAAAGTCTATTTTTTATTTCCAGGAATGGACCATATTTGTTCACATATACCAATGGTACATGGCAGCTAATCATCTAGATCAGCAGTTAAATATGATGACTTGGAATGTAGTGGAGTTTCCTTCTCTGGAAGCTTTTAAGCAGAGGCTGGATGGCCATCTGTTGGAGGTGCTTTGATTTTATGTTCCTGTCTGGCTGGGGGTTGGACTGGATGGTCCTTGTGTTTTCTTCCAAATCTGATCCTATGACTATCTGAAGAGCCAGTCCCAATACATACACTGTGTGTTTGCTGGGAAGTTTCCAAATCATGAGCCTAATTTACTCACAGAGGTTCCCCATCCTCTGTAGAGCTTCCCAAGTTATTTACAGCCTGAAATCTTTCTTAGCAGATTTCTAGTAAGCTACAAACACTGGTGTGCATCCATAAAAAATATGTGTACCTAATCCTAAGACCGATGATGATGATGATGATGATGATGATCAGAAACTTCTCAAAGCACAGCAGACAAAGGATCAGTACAAGAAAACTGCACTCCAATCTGTCAACTGCAAAAGGCCACCTTACTTGGATCTGTGCTCATCATTTGAAAATACATCACACAGTCCGAGTCGCTTGGGAAGTGTTCTACTTGTGATTTTGTGATATGAAATCCAGCATATAGATCTCGTTTGCTGTGACATACTGTGCTTTTGTGTCAATAATAATAACAACAATAATAATAACAACAACAACAACAACAACAATATGATGGTGGTTTCTGGGTCCCAGGACAGCTTCCCAAAAGCATGTCCCAGGATACCTTTCCACCAGAACTTGGAAAACCGCACAACAAAAACTTTTCCACGGTTTTAATACTTCCCTGAGGCTGCTACAAGTCCAACCCTTTTTCAACCAAGAAGGAAACCAGAAGTTCACTTCTTGGGGTTTTTTTTTCTTGGTTGAAAAAGATCTCTCTGGTCCTTAAAGAGCCCAGGACATTTGAAAAGCTTGGCGAAATGGTCTCCCATGCTCCTAAGGAGATGTATAAGGACCTTGAGAATAAAAGGGTCATGATCTTTTTTTTTAATGTAGGTGAGATATGGGGAAAGCCCCTCAAAGGCCTCACAGCAAGTTGAATAGCTGCACCAACACACAACAGTTAGCCACCTCTGTTTGGCATCCTTCCTGGGAGAAACATTATTCAAACAACAATGTGACTATTGCACAAAGTCAGTACCTTACACAGACAGGCTGACACACACAGTTGTGCAATAATCATGCTTTCTTCCTGTGCCTCAGGAAGGGAGCAAGCTACAGGATATAGTAAAGAATTTATTTTTTTTAAATTCCCAGGAGGAAACAAACATAAGTACAAAGGCAATGAGATGGCATTCATTTCTGAAATGTCAGGCATTTGAAAAACTTGCCCTTTCAAATGTGTCCTGGAAAGTTTGTGTAATCTATAGTAGCAAACAGAGAGTCATGTAGCATCTTAAAGACACAACACATTGATGGCAAGGACGGGAGAACATCCAGTTCCCAATTTATCACAATTTCTGAAATAAAATGACGTTCAAAGGTAATGAACCTTTGATACCACAGATCTGAATTATGCTTTGCAAGTAGGAAAAGAAATGCACAAAAGCTGTTGAATTGGGTCTTGTAAGGTTTGGTTACCATCCTTCAGTCTTATGGGCTTCCAAAGCTATGTAAACTAGATTTTTAAAATTATTTTAAAAACAACTATTGTTTCCTGAGTTGTAGTTGTTGTTTTGATACATGCCTGTGATCAAAACAAAAGTATGACCGCTCAGATCCTTTCCAAATGGAAATTAAGCCCTCATCTTTATATCATGGCACACATTTTCATGGACTAGGTTTCACTGTCTCAGAGGAATCCGCATAGCTTTATGCCACCAAAAAAATTAGAAGTCTTTTCCTAAGTTGTTGTAGGTTTTTTCCTTTTTCCTAGTTTACAACCTGTCTCATATAGTACCCATACTTTCCACTTACCATTTTCCCGCACAGTGATATGATTTAAAAATTGTTTTGTTCAAATACCATGTAAATGTCCACACTGCAACACAGAAAATCCTCAGTGTGCAAATTGCCAACTTGTGATTTTGACAACTTACCTCTCCTCCCTCTCTCTTTTCTGCTTGCGAGCATGACGATCCATGACACTTGTTTTGGTTCTTGTCTTTTTCCAGGAGTAATAGAATTTCACCAAGCTTGCTATCGATTTGTCAGGAAGCTGAGGAACACAGAATGATGGGATGACACACATGTCATACTCAGATCAGGTACTGAGTTTGTCAAGCAAAAGAGCCAATGTGTACTGTGAGTATAAGTTGGCTATCACCATGCTAGATTAAGAACAAAGTGCATTGTGATTGTCAAAAGATCAATCCAGAATGAGACATGATTCAAGGATCACTGGGGCACTTTTATACATGAGTTGGCAACAGCAGAACAAAAAGCATCACTAAATCAGTGCCTGATAGATCCACATTAGGGTTCCATAACAGAAACTGGGAGCAGTTCAATTGGCATCACAGGTGTATTTTTAGAAATGGTTCTATTTTCAAACCAACAATTTGGTTGTGACTGGTAAAATGGGATTCTCCATTGGTCACAGCGTGATCCGACATATGTTGCAACAGAAACATTGGGTTGTTGTAGGTTTTTTCGGGCTATATGGCCATGTTCTAGCCTGAAAAACCTACAACAACCCAGTGATTCTGGCCATGAAAGCCTTCGACAATACAACCGAAACATTATTATTATACAATGTACTAGTCATCCCCTGCCATGCGTTGCTGTGGCCCAATCTGGGTATTTTTGGGGTGTGTATATGTAGAATCATAGAGTTGGAAGAGACCTCATGGGCCATCCAGTCCAACCCCCTGCCAAGAAGTAGGAAAATTGCATTCAAATCACCCCCAACAGATGGCCATCCAGCCTCTGTTTAAAAGCCTCCAAAGAAGGAGCCTCCACCACACTCCGAGGCAGAGAGTTCCACTGCTGAACGGCTCTCACAGTCAGGAAGTTCATCCTAATGTTCAGGTGAATTCTCCTTTCATGTAATTTGAAGCCATTGTTCCTCGTCCTAGTCTCCAGGGCAGCAAAAAACAAGCTTTCTTCCTCCTACCTATGACTTTTTTATATATGTGTATTTATTTGTATATATGTGTGTGCTTGCATATATATGCGTGTGGTTTGGCGCATATGTTGTAGTGTGTGTGTGTGTGTGTGTGTGTGTGTATAGGGCTTTTTAAGTCTCTTCTGCTGTGTTTTTCAGTATTTTTATGACCATTGGCCTGATAGGTGTATTGTGTCCAAATTTGGTGTCATTCAGTGGTTTTTGAGTTATGTTAATCCCATAAACGAACATTACTTTTTTATTTATATAGATAGTATGTTTATGTCACACAGAGAGAGAAAGAGAGAGAGAAAGTGAAAGAGAAATACAGATATATTTATTAGTTGGTCCCCAAATGCAAGGCAGAACTACAGTGATGTCCCAGATCTGTAACTGCTGAACTCTATTGACTAAAGTCAGATAAAACAGAGGCCAATATTGAAAGGCAGTATTATTTACCTGGATGAAAACACTTCAAATGGCTGCTTTCTACTTTATTGCTTTGTGCTCAAAGGAAACATTGCCCACTCAGCCAGGTCATATTTTAAATGCCATGCTTTCTTTTTCAAGTTTACGTGTTCTCTTTCTTCCTACCAACACTACCTAAGCTAGCCATGTGTACTCTCCCTTAAACAATAATTACATTATCAGTGGTTCTGCTTTTGTTGCTAAACAAGCGCAGCTTTAGAAAAAGCAATTTGCAATTAAGGAGCTGCTTTTCAAATTGGTTACTTAAAAATGTGTTTTAAAACCTGCAACGTATCTACATTTTGCCTTTCTACTCTAAGAAGCTCAATTCTTAGCTTCCCTCCTTACTGACCATGAGACAAAATGCTCATTGATGTATTCATAAAAAAAAGTAAATATACTATGAGCAGCAATACCTGCCTCCCTTAGCCTGTCTGCTGAATCTCCAGCCTATCCTGCCTCAATGTATTTGGTCTAACTTTTGAATGAGCACAAAATGTTTGTAATCTTCTCTCACATCTTGGAGTTTTTGTGGACAACAAGTTAAGCATGAGTCGACAATGTCATGCGGCAGCTAAAAAAGCCAATGGGATTTTCGCCTGCATAATTAGGAGTACAACGTCTAGATCCAGGGAAGTCATGCTAACCCTTGATTCTGCCTTGGTCAAACCACACCTGGAATACTGTGTTCAATTCTGGGCACCACAATTTAAAGGAGATGTTGACAAGCTGGAATGTGTCCAGAAGAAGGCAACTAAAATGATCAAGGGTCTGAAGAACAAGCCCTATGAGGAGCAACTTAACGAGCTGGACATGTTTAGCCTGCAGAAAAGAAGGCTGAGAGGAGACATGATAGCCATAAGTATGTGAGGGGAAGAGATAGGGAGGAGGGCGCAAGCTTGTTTACTGCTGCCCTGGAGACTAGGACGTGGAACAATGGCTTCAAATTGCAGGGAAGGAGATTCCACCTGAACATGAGGCAGAACTTCCTGACTGTGAGAACCATTCAGTAGTGGAACTCTCTGCCCCGGAGTGTGGTAGAGGCTCCTTCTTAGGAGGCTTTTAAACAGAAGCTGGATAGCCATCTGTTGGAAGTGCTTTGAATGCGATTTTCCCGCTTCTTGGCAGGGAGTTGGACTGAATGGCCCACGAGGTCTCTATGATTTTATGATCTTCAGTTTAAATGATTACCCTTGTCACCAACTGTATTTATGGTTCGTGTATAACTGATTTTCACATTTTACTTTTTGTGATCATCTGCCCAATTCACTGAGTTGATTTAAAAATGTATAAATAGGAATAGTAATATTAATGGTTTAATATTATTATGGGACGATGAATCAGCTCTAAGTATCTTTAAAGTCATAAGAGACACTTAACCTTATTTTTAAAACAGCTGAAATTTAGATCAACTGAGCAGGAACCTATGCGTTTTTAAAACTATGTTACTCCATAAAGCATCACATGCATTGATGGTGTCAGATAAGTCTCTAGAAATGACTTAGAATTTGGATACTGCAGTCATTCTCATCTGAACAGCACAAGCATGAATTTGGAAGTAGAATTGAGAGAAGCATTTCTTTATCAAAACCTTGCAAGCCACATCTACCTCCTTGTAATGGTTTGTTACTTTTTGATATTTGCTGCAGATCAATATTGTTCACACAGAGAAGTGAGCCCGGCTTCTTGTTCTAAGTGTACATGCTGATTGATCATCTTCGCTAGATGAGATGTGGATAGATTTAGTAGTGCAGTGTCTGCAAATATGGATCAAAGACACTAACAACAAGAGGGCAGTTTACCTAGTGACTCAGTTCAGACAATCCTCCACACAGTTGGAAACACTCTAGCATTATTATATTTATTTATATCCCACTGTATTTCTCTAAAAAGAGACCCAAAGCTTCTAGTGAGCCTTCTATTCCAGATTAAGCTGTAGCTGACATTGTGTGTGCTTGTGCCTTCAAATCACCTGTTGACTTCTGGTGATGCTGAGAGTTTCATCGTTTTCTCAGACAGGGAATACTCAGACATGGTTTTGCCAGTTTTGTATTCCTCTTAAATATAGTCTATTGTACCTGGCTTTTGTTACCTGACACTCTCCTATCTGACTACTAATAGGAATTGATCCTGCTCAGCTACCAAGATCAGATGCCTTTAGTGCCTTTAGGGCATTTAGCACAGGATATCCTAACTCAGTGGTTAATGATGAAATTTCCCAGTCCTAAATATCTTTGCCATCAGCCTGTAGTTTAGTACTAACTATAGCTTTATCATGAGGTTTAGCCTTGGTCTGAGATGAGCTTCCAGGTACAATGGAGTTAAAATGCTGATTGGGAAATCATACTGGCTACACTTAGTGCCAAATAACCTTTGATATGAAGGACTTTGATTCAGACATTTTCTCCCTTCCCAGAAAATATGCTGTTAGGATAAGATGGGATTCTAATAGGAGACTCTCAGCCTCTGAGCAAATTCTGCCAAGAAAACTACATGATAGGTTCTCATGAGGGCCACCGTAAATGTGAAACATCTTGAGGGCCTTGGTAGCTCAACGGGTTAAACCGTGAGCTGCAGAAAGTCTGCTGACTTGAAGTTTGGCAGTTCAAAGCTGCGAGTTGGGGTTAGCTCCCGACTCTCAGCCTTAGCTCCTGCCAACCTAGCAGTTTGAAAGCTTTCAATGCAAGTAGATCAATAGGTACCACCTTGGCGGGAAGGTAAAAGGGTGCCCCATGCAGATATGCAGACATGCCGGCAACACAATAGACGGTGTCTATGGGCAAGAGGCTCCTTAAGATGGAAAATTGGAACAAGAGCAACTCCCCATGGCTGGAGTTGAGCATCACCTCCAAACACCAGAGATGGAAAAAGGAGAAGGCCTTCACCTTTGTCTGTGTTGTATGTCGTAGTTCACTGTGTGTAAAAGGCACTGAATGATTGCCTCATATGTGTATAATGTAATCAGCTCTAAGTCCCTCCAGGGATATAAAGTGGAATAAAGTGTATTATTATTATTATTGGGAGCCCTCAGTGGTGCAGTGGGTTAAACTGCTGAGCTGCTAAACTTGTTGACCAAAAGGTCGCAGGTTCGAATCTACGGAGCGGCGTGAGCTTCTGCTGTCAGCTCCAGCTTCTGCCAACCTAGTAGTTCAAAAACATGCAAACGTAAGTAGATCAATAGGTACCGCTCTGGCAGGAAAGTAACGGCACTCCATGCAGTCATGCTGGCCACAAGCCAGCTCTTCGACTTAGAAATGGAGATGAGCACCAACTCCCAGAGTCGGACACGACTGGACTTAATGTCAGGGGGAAACCTTTACCTACTTACTATTATTATTATTATTATTGTTATTATTATTATTATTATTATTATTATTATTATTATTATTATTATTGAAGGTTCACAAGGACAACAAAATTGGGGATATAGTTTCTTTCTAAGTCAACATTTGTTTTAAAATGTGTAAAAATGCATAAACTTTCTCTTCCCTTTCAAGCAAGAATGCAAATCAACTTGCAATTAAAAGGCCAAGTTAGACATTACTTTTAGCATCTGCCAACAGGTAGGAGTATCTTTGTTGAAATATCAGTTCCCTTACTTTTTATCATTGGCTGAAAGTCTTTTGGGATATTACTGGATGGGAAACGTCAGTACCATGATGTTAGTAGTTTGAGACATTTTTGGGTTGAAAACATTATGTCAAGCACTGGATCTAGCCTGACTCTAAACCTGCTAAAAAGAAGCAATTGGAAAAAGAAAACACATCAGGCTGTGAGATTTTTTTTAAAGACAAGGGAGCAAACATTGCAGCTGTTACTTCTGCTAATTAAGAGCCTACAGCTTTTAGTGTGATGCTTCGTCTCCAGCAAATACTTTATGTGTAAAAAAAAAAATCTATAAAAATTCTCCAGAAAAATCACGTTGGCAGATTTGGGGGAGAAGGCCATTAATGCATTCTTTCTCACAGCCATTAAAACAAATGTACACAAAAGCATAATTAAAAGGTGATTAACATCGCTATTACAAACTCCCATATTTCCATCACCTGCACTATGTTTTGACCCTGGAATCCTGCATGATCAAATTACTATATGTCACAAAGATTTTGTGAGACAAATGTCCAGCATTTATATTTAATTGTTTTAAATAAATGTTCAAATTAGAAATATTTGGATAATGTGCCACTTCTTGCTATTAAAGGTAGACAATCCAGCCCACAACTCTTTGGCAGCATGGGAAATATGAATTCCTTTCCTTCCTATGCCAGTAGGTGGAGAAGTTGGCGTCTTTCTCCAGCAATACATTTGTTGCATACTAGATAATTATCTAGACCTTTGGACTACACATACTATAGGTAAAAGTAAAGGTTTCCCCTGACATTAAGTCTAGTTGTATCTGACTCTGGGGGTTGGTACCCATCTCCATTTCTAAGCCAAAGAGGCAGTGTTGTCCATAGACGCCTCCAAGGCCGGCATGACTGCATGGAGTGCCATTACCTTCCTGTTGAAGTGGTACATATTGATCTACTCACATTTGCATGTTTTTGAACTGCTAGGTTGGCAGAAGCTGAGCCTAGCAGCAGAAGCTCACCTTGCTCCCCAGATTCGAACCGCCAACCTTTTGGTCATCAAGTTCAGCAGTTCTGCAGTTTAACCAGCTGTGCTACCAGGGGGCCCACATATACTATAAGTGGGTTAAATGTGATCCCAGGTCCAAAAATAACCTTCTTCACTTGTTTCTGAATCCTTTGACTGATCCAACCCCTCTGGAGCATCATTTTTCCAAGAAAAAAAATAAACTGATCCACTGTTTTGTCGAAGGAAATGTCAGGAGAGAATGCTTCTAGAATATGGCCATACAGCCCCAAAAAACCTACAATAACCCAGTGAACTGGTTCAGCTGGAAATATCTAGGAACGGTAATTCTCCTTTCCACACACACTGTTTTCCAAAACAAGAAATGAACTTGAGGATATTTTTAGTGTTATATTTGTTTTTTCTTCTATTGGTATTTGGGCCTCCTCTGGAATCCTGGAGAAATTGCCCTCAAAACCTGTCATAGCTGGTCTTCTCTGCCTTAATACTAATGAGATTAGAAACATGTTAGTTTCACCTCTGACTCTATGTAAACATATAACTCTAAAGCAAACCGTTCATCCCTTCTTCAAATTGGTCTGTTGGCTGTGTTTCATACTTAACTTTGTAAACTTATAAAGAAGGAAAGCTTTAAAAAATTCTGAAATAAGAGCAGAAAATATAAATGTATGCAATTAATACCTTCTTTTCTTCCATTAAGATTGCAACATCTTTCTTGACTGTCAAGAATCTCAGCTAAGAGATTCATTTGAGATAATCCAAACTATTATACTTTCCACTATAGCATTCCTCTATGAGATTCCAACACATTTCCTAGATAGTCAGAAATCTCAGCTGGAAAAATCTGTTTCTGAGAATGCAAAACAACGGGGATGTTATGTCACTTTCTTTTATTTCTCAAGCCTTTGTGTATTTAGCCTCAGTAGATTCCTTACCATCTGCTGGATTCGATGAAATGTTTTCCCATGGAAACTGAAAGCCTGCTCAAACAAGACTTTGTCTTCAACTGTCCACTCATCTGGAAAAGGGGTGAAGTTAGGTAGGTCAGCCAGAGATTTCTCAATGTTATGCTTGTGCCAGAAGAGCATCCCAAGGGCCTAGAACAGGGAAAGGAAAGAAATGGCAATATTTAGAAATGCAAATAAAAACTGGACATTTAAATAACCTTAAGACTGATTCTAACTTTCCATACTTTTGTCTAGGCTGAAGCTCCACAACCTAAGTTTTAGTCATTGAGATCAGACATTGGAAATGGTTTGGGGCTACAACTCCCAGAATCACCATCCTGGCCTGGGATTCTGAGAATTGTAGTGCAAAAGGTTATATTTCTAAATGGTGGTTCTGATAACCCTCTGATAACTCACTATACTGCTTTCTTGCTACTATACACAGCTATTGTAATGACTGTATAAGAAATTGCTCCCCTCCTTCAACTTGAAGAGGAAACAATCACGCAAATATAGCAGTCATGAAACAGATTAGTTTAGAAGTGCTCCAAAACGCAAAAGACTTCGTAACAGTCAAGCTGCAATCTTCTGAAAGAGTTGGCCTTAGGTGTGTCCACGTTTGTGTAGGTACATTCTTACATGCACAAAAGTAGAAACACACAAATATTTTTCTTTTAAAAAAAGCCAATGGGGATTTGGCCTACATCAATAGGAGTCCAGAGAAGTCATGCTACCCCTCTATTCTGCCTTGGTTAGACCACACCTGGAATATTGTGTCCAATTCTGGGCACCACAATTGAAGGGAGATGTTGACAAGCTGGAATGTGTCCAGAGAAGGGTGACTAAAGTGATCAAGGGTCTAGAGAACAAGCCCTATGAGGAGCGGTTTAAAGAGCTGGGCATGTTTAGCTGAGATGAGACATGATAGCCATGTATAAGTATGTGAGAGGAAGTCATAGGTAGGAGGGAGCAAGCTTGTTTTCTGCTGGAGACTAGGATGCTGAACAATGGCTTCAAATTACATGAAAGGAGAATTCACCTGAACATTAGGATGAACTTCCTGACTGTGAGAGCCGTTCAGCAGTGGAACTCTCTGCCTCGGAGTGTGGTGGAGGCTCCTTCTTTGGAGGCTTTTAAACAGAGGCTGGATGGCCATCTGTCGGGGGTGCTTTGAATGCAATTTTCCTGCTTCTTGGCAGGGGGTTGGACTGGATGACCCATGAGGTCCCTTCCAACTCTATGATTCTATGAGCTATTAAGGGGTGTGAGAATGTTCAATGCAATAAAAAGTGTGAACTGGCCCTTTATCCTTGACGCTAGCTGGAGGATTCGACAAAAAAGTTTCCAAACTCTCAAAGGACATCACAATTCCACTCTACCAAGTTCCTATTGCTATATAATCTAGGTTTTCCTTTTCTCCACAGAAGACATTTCAGAAAAGGCCAGGCTTGTTATACCTGAAGTACAATTGAACTGGCAGACTTGCCGTCTCAGTTAAAATTATTTTTCCCTGTCCACTGATTAAAATGTCCTGAAATAAACTCCCATCAACTTCATTTTTCCTGTGTCACACATAGATTTGACATCCGTCGGACTAAATTTTTCACTCAGATCACTTAAAATGTTAACTTTGGCACTGTGGTTTCGCTTTCCTCCCAACCAATTTTGCTATGCAAAAAAGGTTTTTAGTTCTCGGTGGAAAGTTGTCACTTCAAAGGTTTCTGCAGCTCCCCACATCTGTAAACCACAAATGTGACCCCATGTCAGTTTCATGTCTCACATCACTGAACATCTAGGGACTTTTCCTTCTTGGAATTCCCTTAAACATGACTCACGATGAAAAGAATTTTTCATACATAATAAGTCTCCCTTCCTGCTGCTTTCAAATCTTCAAGAACAGGACCGCCCCATGGAACAAAGGTTAAAATTATGCAACCTTCTGCTTGCACCACAATCAGCTACTCAAATTCACCTTAGTTTCTTAAAACAGGGCTCTACAAAAATATTCCAGAATGTAGACAGATCAAGAAGATGGGCACACAATGCACATAGAAGCAACCAGATTCATTTGCAGCTTGCCAATTTTCTGAGCTGACTAAGACATGCTGAAGCCCTGAATTGCCTTGTTTATTACTCTATCAGGGTTTTTTCTTTTTGGATGTTGGGTTTATGCTCTGTCATAATTTGAAGACTTAAACTGCAGCTTATATATTTGGTGCATAAATTTGATATATTAAGAGTGCTTCGTCAGCTCCACTGGCTGCCTGTCCACTTTCGAGCACAATTCAAAGTGCTGGTCTTGACCTATAAAGCCCTAAACGGTTCCGGCTCAGTTTACTTGTCTGAACGTATCTCCCTCTATGACCCACCTCAGAGTTTATGTTCGTCGAGGGAGACCCTGCTCTCAATCCCGCCACCCTCACAAGAGAGATTGGTAGGGAGAAGAGACAGGGCCTTCTTGGTGGTGGCCCCTCGTCTGTGGAATGCACTCCCTAGTGAAATCAGGGCAATTCCTTCTCTCCTGTCCTTCAGGAAGAAACTCAAGTCTTGGCTTTGGGACCAAGCATTCGGGCAGATGGCTGAGCAACAACTGTAATGACTCATGAGAATTGTCAACTAAGAGACCTTGGACTGGAACTCTGGACTATGATTTGGATTTGCGGACTCAGACCTGGTTGTGTTAATATTTTAAGGGCCAATATTTTAAATGTATTTTTATTGCTTTTTAAAATATTTATTTTATTGCTGTTGACTTGTTTATGTGAATTGTTGTCTTCTAACTGTTTCTTTGTTGGCATCTAATGACTCCCAATTGTAAGCCGTCCTGAGTCCCCCTTCGAGGGTTGAGAAGGACGGGATACAATGCTCTAAATAAATAGAGTCTTGCTTATCCAACATAAACGGGCCAGCAGAACATTGCATAAGCAAAAACGTTGGATAATAAGGAGAGGTTAAGGAAAAACCCATTAAACATCAAATTATGTTATGATTTTACAAATTACGCACCAAAACATCATGTTTTACAACAAATCGATAGAAAAAGCAGTTCAATACATGGGAACGTTATGCAGTAATTACTGTATTTACAAATTTAGCACCAAAACATTGCAATGTATTGAAACGGGAAGCAGACAGCATTGGATAGTACAGAATGTTGGATTAGCGAAGGTTGGATATGCAAGACTCTACTGTAATTACATGTAGTGCTGGAACCCCCAAAGTTAAGGATGTGCCACATTATTGCTCTCCTGCTCATTATATTCTGAACCAAGATCCAAATTCTCATCTACATTCCAATAACATTTCAGAAAGGTTTTTCTTTGATGTGATACTAATTTTATTATAACTTGAACAGTTTCTCCTTTCATTCTGGGATCAATGAAAATCCAGGCAAAAGGTATTGCTGATATTGCAGTTTATTGTCCTGGCATTTTACATTGTATTGATTTGTAAATTATCCAAGATGAATATGCTATTTTACATAGAACTTTTATATTTTGCACTTTTATATCATATTTATTTATTTATTAAGTGACTGGCCTATGGTCTAGGCGTTAATAAACTACTCCAATAGGTGGAGCAGTGGGTTAAACCGCTGAGCTTGCTGACCGAAAGGTCAGTGGTTCAAATCCGGGGAGCAGGGTGAGCTCCCATTGTTAGCCCAAGCTTCTGCCAACCCAGAAGCTCGAAAACATGCAAATGTGAGTAGATCAATAGGTATTGCTTTGGAGGAAAGGTAACAGCACTTCATGTATTCATGCCAGCCACATGACTTTGGAGGCATCTATGGACAACACCGGCTCTTTGGCTTGGAAATGGAGATGAGTACCAACCCTGAATGTTGGACACAACTAGACTTAATGTCAAGGGAAAACGTTTACCTTATTACTACTATCGCTTGTATGTTAAAGCATTATAACACGTTGCACTATATAACAGAGGAACCATCTATACTTTAGAATTAATGTAGTTTGATACCATTGTCATGGCTCAGTGCTATGGAATCTTGGGAGTTGTAGTTTGGTGAAGAACCTTCACTTTGGGGCAGAGAGAGCTAAGGACCTTGTAAAACTACAACTCCAATGTTTCCATAGCATTGATCCATGGCAACTAAAGTGGTCTCAAGTTGCATTAATTCTACAGTGTAGATGTGTCCAGAGTGAACAACCTATTTAAGACTCAGGGAAACTTCCCATGGAACGCTGATTGAGGTTAAGGTCCATAGCCCAAAAAATCATGCAATTAACTTTCCCTGTCTTGTTCTCTTTCCCCATTGTCATTCATTCATAAACCCTATTTATCATGTCATTGATTTTTCCATAGAGATAAAGAGAGACATTGAGGGAGTGTTCCGTTATGCTCTTTTCTTGATCTTTTGTTATGGTCCCACCTTCTTGCAACTATTTAGAAAGTAATTTAAAAAAGACCTTCTACCCCCTAATCTCACCATATAATGCTGCTACTGAGAAGAAACTTTGGGAAAGGACTCAGGTAATCCAACTGTAGAACGTAGAACATGGAGTACTCTTCTGAGTTTCCTCTAGCGGCCACAATCTGTACTGGGTCATGCTATGGAATCATGACTATGGTAGTTTGGTGAGACACCAGCACTTTTGACAAATGAAGCTAAAATCTTGTAAAACTACAACTCCCAGGATTCTATAGCAATTAAAAGTGTTGTCAAACTGCATTATCACACAATGTAGATACACCCTTAGAAGAGCTATTGGGAGAGAGCATTTCCAGACATGATCTCAAGGCTCAAAAATAAATACCTATACAGTACAAATCCTCTATCTTTTGGGATACATTTCTGGAATGCATGTGAATACATGAAGCTGTGGATCATAGTGAGCCCTATTATTTGCAATGGGACAAGTTACAGAAGGATTATGAAGTGGATGTAGCTTCTAAAGGAGGCCCTAAGTCAGTGGTTCTCAACCTTCTTAATGCCGTAAACCATTAATACAGTTCCTTATGTTGTGGTTACGCCCAACGAAACATTATTTTCTTAGCTACCTCTTTACTGTAATTTTGCTACTGTTATGAATCATAATGTAAATATCTGATATGCAGGATGTATTTTCATTTACTGGACCAAATTTGGCACAAATACACGATACACCCAAATACTGGTGGGGTTGGGGGGATTTATTTTGTCATTTGGGAGTTGTTGTTGCTGGGATTTATAGTTCATCTACAATCAAAAAGCATTCTGAACTCCGCCAATGATGGAATTAAACCAAACTTGGCACACAGAACTCCCATGACAAATAAAAAATTCTGGTAGGGTTTGGTGGGCATTGACCTTGAGTTTTGGAGTTGTAGTTCACCTACATTCAGAGAGTACTGTGGACTCAAAAGAATGATGGATCTGGACCAAACTTGGCACAAATACTCAACATGCCCAAATGTGGACACTGGTGGAGTTTGGGAAAATAGACCTTGACATTTGGATGTTGTAGCTGCTGGGATTTATAGTTCACCTACAATCAAAGAGCACTCTGAACCCCACAAATGATAAAATTGAGCCAAACTTTCCACACAGAACTCCCATGACCAAAAGAAAATATTGCATTTTCTGATGGACTTTGGCAACCCCTATGACAACCCCTCGCGAACCCCCCCACCCCGGTTGAGAAATGCTGCCCTTAGTGAATAAGTGAAACTGTGGACAAGTGAAGCCACATATATCAGTTCTCTAGATATGGAAGTTTATACAATGTTTTTAAAATCCAACTCGTGCTTTCTTAGCACTTACGGTGTACTAAAATTTGATGCAGTGTCAAGTGAGGTTTATTTAAAACTCAGCCTCATTCCCCCAGACAAGCTACACATGGTCAAGCAGCGATGGAAAGTACAGGTAAGCTTCCATTTGAAATCTTGATCCTAAAATTGTTTTAACGAAAGCATGGACAGCTTCTGTGCATTTTTCTTGGTCCCAGAACAATCTTACAATTCCTAGAGGACACATAGCAGCACATGTTCTTGCTGGTTATTGAGAAACAAATGTAAGACTCGTAGCTTTGGAAAGCTATTTTGAAATTAGGTTTTGTTTTTTAAAAAAATATATAGATAGTATTCTACTAGTAGTCTTTCTCATAAGGTTGTTCAGGATGTTAGTAGACAACTGTTGTTTTGTTTCTGCGTGCATTTTAATGACTTTCAGATGATAAACCACCTTGACCTTTTGAATAGACAGAATAGGGAAGCGGAGTTTATGATGTCTTTATACATAATAATGTGTACTAAAATAACAGAAGATGGAAAATAAAAGTCACTCTGTGGCCAGAATCACCCTGTCAAAATATCCATGTAAATCTGATACAGGATAGGTATCCTTTATCTAAAATGCTTGGGATCAGAAGTGTTCCATATTTTGGATTTTTTTCCCCCCAGATTGTAGAATAGTTGCTTGTATATCAGGCAAGGGCAAACTTGGGCCCTCCAGGTGTTTTGGACTTAACTTCCACAATTTCTAACAGCCGGTAGGCTGTTAGGAATTGTGGGAGTTGAAGTCCAAAACACCTGGAGGGCCCAAGTTTGCCCTTGCCTGACATATATAATGAGATGTCTTAAGAGAAAAGACCAAAGTCTAAACACCAAATTAATGCATATTATATCTATACCTCATACACATAGCCTGGTGGTTATACACAATTTTGTTAAATACTTTTGTGCATTAAACAATTTTGCATACATTGAACCATCAGAAAGCAAAGGTGTCACTATCCCAGCCTCTAATGTGGAAAATTTTGGAATTTGGCAGATAAGCGATGCTCAACCCATACTCTCTCTCTCCCCAAAACTTACACACATCCCAATTCTTCACTTTGAGAATACCAAATAGCAATTAAGGTGATAAGACATATATTCTTAATTGTCTTGTACCTGTTCCATATTGTACCCATGCTTCTCCTTTGCAATAGCGATATACTCATCCACTGTCAAGAAAAGGAAACAAAAAAAATGAAAATTAGATCTTCAACAACAAAATCCTTAACAATTCAAAAACTACTTCCTTTATTAAATGAAAGCAATGACTACAAACTGACAATTAAATTTAGGCTTAATAAGTTCAAGATTGGGGAACCCTTGTGGTACAGAGGGTTAAACCACTGAGCTGCTGAACTTGCTGACTGAAAAGTTGGTGGAGCAGGATGAGCTCCAGCTGTTAGCCCCAGCTTCTGCCAACCTATCAGTTCAAAAACATGTAAATGTGAGTAGATCGATAGGTAGATAATGGCACTTCATGCTGTCATGCTGGCCACATGACCTTGGATGTGTCTACGGACAACGCCGTCTCTTTGTCGTAGAAATGGAGATGAACACCACCACCCAGAGTCAGATACGGCTGGACTTAATGTCAGGGGAAACCTTTATCTTTAAGTCCACGATATGAGTGAAATTTCCACATCTGGCTGTAAATGCTTCATTCTTCCATTTATACAAGCAGTAAAAAATGGTTAATAGTTTCAACACAAACCAGGATAGTAAGACAACTCATATCCTGTTTGTTTGTTTGCTTGCTTGCTTGTTTGTTTTCGGGAGTGTAGGGGATGCATTTACCGTATTTTCCCAATCCAGATGTAGCAAGAATATATAAGCAACTACTCTTCCCTGCCTTATTTTCCTAGTCAACCAGAGCTGCTGCCTCTGAGTGGATAAGATCTGCTCTTATCTTAAATTTATCAAACATAGATTATGTTCCCTAAACATACAAAGCTGTTATATTAGTTCCATTCTTCTGCGAACAAATCAGATCAGGAATTGTCAAAAGGCATATTATATTATTTTTATTACTTCCAAAGTGCCTAAGATGTATTACACAGAGATTAATTAAAAAACAGAGCACAAAAAGACAAAAGCAAGCAAACTCTGGTGCCAATGTGTGATGTTGCATAAATACAGCCATAGCATCCGATATAAATTGCCTTTCAGTACGCATCCGCACATGGCATTCCTCCAATTAGTCTCCTAAAGGTTACTTTTCCAGGGCTACAATGCGCAGAGTCTCAGAGCTCTAAAACCCTAGGAGATATAGTCTAAAACAGTAACTTTCCCAAGTATGACATATTATTTTCAGTTGAATCCAACAACCATCAGCAGCTGGAGTACAGTGTTCTTTCTGATAAGGAACCATGAGTAACCATAGCATTACACATTCTTTAGCTGCTCCTTTTGGGCTCATAATGGAACCAAGTTGAAGAAGCATGATACCCTGTGTCTCCCTTCATATGGATACTAGGTGCTTCAGTCAATGGCGTAAAATCTGTAGAGGTATGCATGATTTTAGGAAATACAATAGGCCTCTGCATCCACAGATCCAGCCATCTACAATTTGAAAATATTCTGCCCAAAATATTACAAAACAGCAAATTTTGGTTTTCACATTTTATAAAAAGGAGACAATTTTATTACAGCATTGTATATAATGGGGCTTGGGTGTCTATACATGTTGGGTGTCCATGAGGGGTCCTAGAACCAAACCCCAGCAGATACCAAGGGCCGATGGTACAAACCTATTTTCCAGCATATTATATCAGATGACCATCCAATATACGCAACGCGGCCAGATTTTTGTTTAATTGGGTTAAAATAGGGATCTCTTCCACCATAACAGGGCAACCTCATGTTGTTGTTGTTCATTCGTTCAGTCGTTTCCGACTCTTTGTGACCTCATGGAACAGCCCACACCAGAGCTCCCTGTCAGCTGTCACCACCCCCAGCTCCTTCAAGGTCAACCCAGTCACTTCAAGGATGCCATCCATTCATCTTGCCCTTGGTCAACCCCTCTTCCTTTTACCTTCCATTTTCCTCAGCATAATTGTCTTCTCTAAGCTTTCCTGTCTTCTCATGATGTGGCCAAAGTACTCCATCTTTGTTCTACCAACAGACTTCCCAACTTCCTCCTTTTGGAAAATGGAAATATCCAGAACTTCTTATGATTTTTGGAAAGGGATGACCTTGCTAGAAGTCACAACCTTTTGAAAAATGATGCCATAACCTCTTGGTAAAACGTATGACATGTTAGAGTCATAACCCTTTTAAGAAAATGGCATTCACCAGCATTCATACAGCAGTTTCAGAAGTGTTCCTTTTAGTTGCCCAAAATCATCTACTCTCCCTTAAAATATATTTGCTCTCAAGAGACAAAAAATAAGTAACTAATTTAAATGTAACATAGTTAGTTTACTCACAAGCTTCATGTACTCAGCATACAGGTACTTTGCATATAAATGCAGTTACAATAGGATGTTAAGTAGTTTCTCTGTGTAGGTAACACAGGGCATCATTCTTAGAAACAACAGTCCATAGTCCAAAGCAGCTCTGTTCTACAAGAGTAGAGTCTCTGTCCAGTCTGAAAGTCCAATGGAGTCTCTAAGAATACTGTTCCTACTGAATCAAGAGTAGAGTCTCTGTCCAGTCTGAAAGTCCAATGCAGTCTCTAAGAATACTTTTCCTACTGAGGTCTCTAAAGCAGTGATTCCCAACTTGTGGGCCGCAGTCCAGCAATGGGCCGAAAGAACAAAAATCTAGCTGGCGAACCTCCTTCCCCTTTATTTTATTTTTATTTATTTTATTTCCGCTCCTTTCCATAGAGCTGACTATTGTATTGGATAGACCACATCAGTTCTAGTTATTAAATATAGTTTTCTGTGCAGACAATGACTACTGGATGGCATATGTTATGTATCAGAAACTAGAACTCATGTGGTCTATCCAATGCATTTTTCTGAATCAACACCTCAAATAACCAAACAGAAACTAAAGTTGACCAAAGCTGATTCGTAACCCTATTGGTACTAATGTTGGAACGTGGTCCCTGATTAAAGTGGTCGCTGGTCAAGTGGACCCTGGTCAAAAAAAGGTTGGGAACCACTGCTCTAAAGCATACTGCTCTACTCAAGTCTAAACTGTACTTTTCGAAAATGGAGTCTGAGTCCTGCACAAGCCCAGACCTGATCACATGGTCTATAGCCCCTCCCACAACAAAGAATTAAGGTAAAATTGCATATCAATACATACACATATAGTAAGCAATTACATACATAACAAACAACTAGTGGAAGCTTGAAAAAGTTGCTATTTCCAAGACTTCCTGCCTTAGGCCCACTATTTAAAGAAGGATACCAGAGGAAAGCTGTGTAACATCAGAATCATAAAGGCTGCTTTTCCCCTATGACTTCATTCTGTTGGGCAACTATAACTGTTAGATGCCAATGTCAATTCCGCATTACACCAGCACTGTTGTAATACAGCCGTGGGAAAAATCCTAATGCCACGTCTACGACTAATTCAAGTGCACCAAAGGAGGGATAAAACATCACTTGGGGCTCTCTCTTCTCTGATAAAGGGAAAGGAGGAGTATTATATTATACTATATAGTGTTTCTTTACATTTTGAACCCCTAGATTTAGAACCTCTGGATATTATTGGATTTCCACTCTCATTAACCACAATCCGTATGGTCTGTGATGGGAGCTGTGTTCCCAATCACATCTGGAAAACCACAGTTGCTTACTTTTTTTCTACAGGATGTCAACACAAGGTACATCTACCCTGCAGAATTAGTGTAGTTTGAGGGGGAAAAGGAAAGGGCCTGAGGCTGTTAAGAATTGTGGGAAGTCCAAAACACCTGGAGGGCTGAAGTTTGCCCATGCCTGCCATAGTATCACAGGAGTTGTACTTTTCTGAGCTCTTTAGCCTTCTCTGCCAAAGAGTACTGTGGCCTCAGCAGACTACAAATCCTAGGATTTCATAGAACTGAGCCACAGTAGTTAAAGTGGAGTCAAACTGTATTAAGTCTACAGTGCAGATGCCGCCAGAAAATTCGAAGAAGAAAAAAAGACTGGTTTCATGCAGCCCAGCTTCACATTTTCAACAAAACAATTATCCTGAAGGTCAGACAGAAACACAATAGCAATAACCTAGTAAAGCTTGGAGGAAAAAATTGAGGCTATAAATTCCAGAATACAACAAACATGGCCACTGGAATTGTAATCCAGAAAAGGTCACTTTTGCAAGCACTGTGCCTAATCACTATGTGTACAACAAGAAAAGTTTGCCATCCTTTCAATCCAAAGGCAGGGAAGGATAAGGTGGGATGTCTAACAGATGGAGTTCTAAAGCTAGACATAGCAACAATGCAGTGGAAGCCTTTGTGCATTTAGCATCAACTTTCCATGTCCATATTGAAATCTACTTGGTGTCATTGTGAGTTTTCGGGGCTGTATGGCCACGTTCCAGAAGCGTTATTTCCTGATGGAAAGTAGGAAAATGGGGTTTATATATCTGTTGGAAAGTAGGAAAATGGGGTTTATATATCTGTGGAATGTCCAGCATGGGAGAAAGAACTCCTGTCTGTTTTGGGTAGGTGTGAATGTTGCAATTGACCACCTTGATTAGCATTTAATGGCCTAGCAGTTTCAAGGTTTGGCTTCTTACTGCCCAGGGAGATAAAGAACATCACTCGAAAACAGGGGAGTTCCAGACACGAAACAATCAGGGCCAGCTAATCACCTCCCAACAAAGGATTCCCCCAGACCGTGAGAAGCCAGATCTTGAAACTGCTAGGCCATTAAATGGTAATCAAGGTGGCCAATTGCAACATTCACACAGACCTCAAACAGACAAGAGTTCTTTCTCCCACCCTGGACATTCCACAGATATATAAAAGCCATTTTCCTAGTTCCCAAAAGACCTCACAACCTCAGAGGATGCCTGCCATAGATGCAGGCGAAACGTCAAGAGAGAATGCTTCTGGAACATGGCCATACAGCCCGGAAAACTCACAACAATCCCATTGATTCTGGCCATGAAAGTCTTCGATAATACTTGGTGGTGTTCACACTGCCAACCAAATGCAACTTTTGTATCCATAATTGAGTGAGTTGAAAAGCTACAATCCGTAGCACTCATATGTCTAGACATACCCCACAAT